GGCAAGGCTGGACTCATGGAGTCATGGCTGTCAGATTGCCAGCCACAAATGAAAAAGAGCCCAGTGAGAAAACAAGGCTGTGAATTCAAGTTCTGGTACCAACACAAAAACTAACAATATATCCTCCCACTCTGCAGTTTATCTCTTCACTCTGTTGATTGATTCCTTTTCTATGAAGAAGCTTTTTTAATTTGATTTTATTTTGTCTCTTTTGCTTTTGTTGCTTGTATTTTTAAGGTCATGTTCAGAAAACCACTTCCTGTACCAAAATCTTGTCTTAGGTTTAGATTTCTAAATTATTTTCAGTTGACTTTTTTTTTTTTGTCGGTCTTGGGGCTTGAACTCTGGGCCTGGGCGCTGCCCCTCAGCTCTTCAGCTCAAGGCTAGTGCTCTACCACTTGAGCCACAGTGCCACTTCCTCGTTGACTTTTTGAAAGGATGAGGAGTTTTTGCAGAACCATTTATTGAAGAAACTGTCTTTATACATGGTATGATTTTGATGCTCTTGTGAAGAATTAGTTAGCCATAGATGTGTATGTTCAGTTATGAAATCTATGGTCTGTTTTACTGTCTGTATGTCTGGGGGGTTTTGCCAATGCTACGTTGTTTCAGTTACTATGGCTCTGTAGCATGTCTTGAAATTGTGAATTGTAATGCCTTTACCGTTGCTTTCTTTTGGCTCCAGATTACTTTGGTTATTTGGGGCCTTTTGTGCTTCCATATGAATATTAGGATAGTTTCTATTCCTATGAAAGATAGAGTTGGTATTTCATGAAGATTACTTTGGTTCTGTAAATTGCTTTGGGTAGTATGGACATTTTAGTTACTGATACTTCCAATCTATGAACAGAGTCTTTCCACTTTTTATAGGTCCCCTGTACTGTTTCATCAGTGATTTTTAATTTCTTTGATTACATTCATAAGTAGATATTGTTGCTATAGTGACTGTGAGTGAGATTGCCTCATGGTTTTATTCTCAGTGAATGTGTTGTTAGTGTATGAAAATGCTACTTATTTTTGTCGCATAACGACCATAAGAAGGCTAGGAAACATAGGGTAACAGAAAGAGAAGAAGGCTGGAAAATAGGCTTCTACAGCACAGTTAGATATCATTTAAATAAAACCCAAACTTCTCACCCTGACCATTAAGGCCCATCACTTCTCAGTTCTCACTCCCCAGCTGGTTACACTTGCGGTGCTGTTCTCATCACAGGCCCAAGAGAGCTGCCTTGAGCCTGTCATCCTAGCTACTCAGGAGGCTGAGATCTGAGGATCACAGTTCAAAGCCAGTCCAGGCAGGAAAGTCCGTGAGACTCTTATCTCTAGTAAACTATTAGAAAACTAGAAGTAGCACTGTGGCTCAAGTGGTAGAGTGCTTGCCTTGAGCTGAAGAGCTGAGGGACAGCTCAGAGCCCCCTTGACCAAAAAAAAGGCGGGGAGCGCGGGGGGTGGGGGGAGACTGCCTTGGAGATACACTTTCTCCTAAGCAATATTCACACGATCTATTCTCCTAATCATTCAGGTACTTTCAAAAATAGTTCATCGTCATAAACATCTGCCCTAACCTCACTATCAAGCTCCTTATTCCTATTTAATTTATTGTCATTATATACATTATCTACTTGAAGTCATTTTCCATTTATGATTAGGTGTAGACATTGGAATATAATCCACTGTATATACCCAGTCACACGGTCATATTGCTGGCTTTATACCCAGGGCCCAGAACTGTTTCTGAGACAAAGACCCTTAAGTAGTATTTGTAGAAATGAGTTTTTTATGCTATTATGGTAGTCAAATAAAATAATTTAATTCCTTTTCTATAGCACTATAACTAGTTCATAATAGTCTGTTATATATTTTCTAAATATATAGACGAATGAGTCTCAAAGTTTCCTAATATAAAGTAATGATAAAGAGATGAAAACATTGACTGCCTTGATTTGATCAACATACATCATTTATAGGTATGAAAATATCAGATTAGCCGGGCGCTGGTGGCTCACGCCTGTAATCCTAGTTACTCAGGAGGCTGAGATCTGAGGATCGCAGTTCAAAGCCAGCCTGGACAGGAGAGACCATGAGCCTCCTATCTCCAATAAACCACCAGAAAACCGGAAGTGGCGTTGTAGCTCAAGTGGTAGAGCGCTAGCCTTGAGCTGAAGAGCTGAGGGACAGCGCCCAGGCCCAGAGTTCAAACCCTACGACCAACCAAAAAATAAATAAATAAATAAATAAAAGAAAATATCAGATTATATTCCATAAGTATGTATAATAAGGCAATTAAAATTTTTAAGTGATGAAAATGCTAACTACCTCTGACTATTACACATTGTATGCATGTACCGATTTATCACACTTGTCATAAATAATTAACTTAATAAACTTAATTTCAAATTTTATTATTTTTATTAGCATACATTTCTTTTTTTTTTTTTTGGTCCAGTCATGGGGCCTGAACTCTGGGCCTGGGCACTGTCCCTCAGCTCTTCAGCTCAAGGCTAGCACTCTACCACTTGAGCCACAGCGCCACTTCCGGCTTTTTTTCTTTTTGCTTATGTGGTGTTGGGGAATTGAACCCAGGGCCTCAGGCATGCAAGGCAAGCGCTCTACCACTGAGCCACCTTCCCAGCCCTTAGCATACATTTCTAAGTTTGGTTTCACTGTTCAAAAATTCTTCTTAAAAGTCCTTAAAAAATGGACTGGGCTATAGCTCAGTGGCAAAGCACTTTCCTAACAAATGCAACATCCTGGGTTTGATTCCCAGTACCAAGAATGAAAAGACAAAAAAAAAAAAAAAAGTCCTGAAAAAGCTAGGTACCAAGGGCTCATGTTTGTAATCTAGCTACATAGGAGGATAAGATTTGAGGATCAAGTTTGCCTGCTTGGGCAGGAAAAGTCTATGAGACTTTTATCTCCAATTAACTATCAAAGAGCTGGAAGTAGAGGTGTGATAGAGTGCCAGCTTTAAGCAAAAAAACTAAGAGAAGATGGTGCGTAGGCCCTAAGTTCAAGCCTCAATACTGGCACACAAATGATAAAATTCCTTTAAAAAGTAAAGCTAAGTGGCAAATGATCTCAATAGATATTTTTCTAGAGAAGATCTATTATAAAAGGCCAAAGCCATGGAAAGATTTTGTTTCATTAGCCATCAAGGAAATGCATATCAGAACCTCAGTGGCACATGTACCACTTCATATCTAAGATGGAGGTAATTAAGAAGATGGACAATATCAAGCGATGGCAAAGATGTGGGAAACACAGCATCTCACCTTTACTTTGCTCATGAGAATGTAAAATGATAACAGCCACCTTAGAAAAGTATGTTTTCCAAAAAGTTAAACATAGGATAATAATATGATCTAGAAATTATTCTAGGCATTTACCCAAGAGAAATGAAAACATATGTTCACATAAACATTTATACAAGAAATGTTCATAACAGCATTACTTATAATAGCCAAAAGTTGTAAATAATTCAAATGCCCATTAGTCAATAAAATGTAGTTTACACATATAATGGAGTATTACTCAGCCAGTATTTGGTACCAGTACATGCTACAACATGAATGAACCTTCAAGACTAAAAGACTATATCTACATATTTTATAAGTCCATTTATATGAAATTCCAGAGTAGACAAATCCACAGACAGGAAGTAGATTGGGAGGGTGGGGAGTGACTGCTGAGAATTGCAGGGATTCTTTTGGAGATAAAAAAACATTCTGAAATTAGATACTGATACTAGTTGCCCAACTTTGTGAATATACGGAAAACCTCTAATTTTTGCACTTTTAAGTGGTGAAATCTATAGTATGTGAATTTATCTCAGTGATTTTTTTTTTTTGTTGCAGTTTGCACAGTTATGCAGGTCTTCAACTGGAACTTCAGCTGGGGATTGGGCAGTCTCTCTGAACTTTTTCATTCAAAGCTAGCACTCTATCCCTTGTGCCACAGCTCCACTTTCTGGCTAATTGGAGATAAGAGTCTCACACTTTCCCTGCCCTGATAGGGTTATAGGCATGAGCCACTGGTACTGGCTATCTCTGTTAAAGAAAAAAAAAATCCTCAAGTGATTTTTGACAACCACTTGCTTTAAGGACCCTTGGACCAAGGACCAGCTTCATGCCCAGATAACCCATGTGTCACCCAGGGCCATACTCCTAGAAAGGAATATGTCCATGTTGGAGTGGTAATGTTTGAACAGGGAGCTCTGCCTTTTCATTTTATACTAGGCTTCACAAATTATGGACCAAATATCCTGCCCTAGAAATTCCATAATTTTTGGCATCCTTGGGAAAAGATCATGAGCCCAAGTTACCCTTAAGGTCTTTGGTATCACCTTTGCTTCTTTTGTGATATTTTCTGTTTTTTCCCCCAAGATGTTTGTCATTTATAGGCTCCATGAATTTTATTTGTTTCTCTCCCACCCCCCTTTCTTTTGTTCCTGGTGAGGAATAATATTTAAAAAGAAAAAAAAATGGTGGTAGGGATTTAAAAAAAAAAAAAAGAACTAAAGGACAGGGAAGAAACTCTACAAAGCCCCTTACCTCACAGCTTTTGTAAATATGGAAGATGGGCCCAAGAGTTATCTCCACCTTTTAGGAAATAGGTATTGGTAAGAAGAAAAGTAACCAGCAAGCAAATTGCTTTTAATCATAATATATTCTTAGGGGATTAGAGATGTTCCCACCAAGAAAAACATACTCCAGATGTAGCAAAAGAAATATTTGTGCTATGAATACCTTTTATTTTTTTATAAAAAGATAATTTTTTGCCATGCCATGAAGTGTGTTTTGTTTTCATTAATCATACAAATAATTTTCTATAACATCCCAGGGCAAACCGAGAATTTGGCATTCAGATGGGGAGAGTGGCTTCCCCTTAGAGCCCCACAGGCCGATGGCATTGGTATGGAGTTCACAGTGCAGGCTGGTGGCTCGTGTCCACTTTTCAGGTAGCTCTTCCTCCACATCACCAGATGTCTCTGAGATGGTGGAGGCAGGGACCCTCTAGGTTCTTAGGAAATTTCACTCTGCTTTTCCTGTTCAGTGATCTCTTTGGTCGCCAGGGTGTTCTTCTGCGTTTCAGTTTTCTTCAGCTTCGACTTATTGAAGCTGGCGATTTCCCCCATGTCAGATTTGTCTGCCATTTTCTTTTCTTTTTTTCTTTTCTTTCTTTTTTTTTTGTCAGTGATGAGGCCTGAACTCTGGGTCTGGAAGCTGTCTCTCAGCTCCTCAGCTCAAGGCTAGCATTCTACCACTTGAGCCACAGCACCACTTCTGGCTTTTTCTGCTTATGTGGTGCTGAGGAATCGAACCCAGGGCCTTATGCATACTAGGCAAGCACTCTACCACTGAGCCACCTTCCCAGCCCTTGTCTGCCATTTTCTTATAACAGTTCATGGCGTCTGGCTCCAAGCCCAAGGTCTGGTGCTCCCACTTGCATTGCAGCATCAAGAGATCAAAAAAGATATTTTTAAGTATAGTTAAAAGGTATTATCTGAATTCTTAACTATTACTCTATAAAATTTAAGTGCAATGAATATGTAGAAACCATATTCTTTAGGCTTGCTGTCATTGATATAAAAGTGTTCATTTACACATTTATTCAGCAAATATTTATTGAGCATTTATTTTATGCCAGCCCCCATCATAACCAGTGAGGTTGCACAGATGATCAGTATGGTGCCAGTATTTATAAATAGTCCAGTGAGGGGACAGAAATATAACTCCATGGTCACAGAGGACTGTGACACCAGGTATCAGCTAGGATGGCAAGTGTCCAAGGAGTAACAAATGAGTATTTTCTCAGCAGTCTGCCTGTTAAAAGTTGTAAAAGATTATTTGTTAGACATTTAAACACCAGAGCAAGGTTGTCTATGGTAAAAATTGAGGAGTCTTTGTTAGACCCTTCTGAGAAAAGTAGACTTTCTTCTGGAAAGACAACCTGCTGTTAAAAATCCAGTCACAAGCCCGGATACACCTGTAATCCTAGCTACTCAAGAGGCTGAGATCTGAGGATCCTGGTTTGAAGCCAGCCTGGGCAGAAAAGTCCTCGAGACTCTTAAGTAAACTAATCAGAAAAAGCCAGAAGTGGCACTGTGGCTCAAATGGTAGAGCACTAACCTTGAGCACAAAGACTCAAGGACAGCTGGGCTCCGGTGGCTCATGCCTGTAATCCTAGCTACTCAGGAGGCTGAGATCTGAGGATCATGGTTTAAAGCCAGCCCAGGCAGAAAAGTCCGTGAGACTCTGATCTCTAATAAACCAGTAGAAAACTGGAAGTGGCGCTGTGGCTCAAGAGGTAGAGCACTCACCTTGAGCTGAAGACTGCAGGGACAGTGCCCAGACCCAGAGTTCAAGCCCCTTGACCGACCAAAAAAAAAAGAGAGACTCAAGGACAGCGTCTAGACCCTGAGGTCAAGCCCTAGAACAGGAAAAAAAATCCAATCACATATGGGTTATGTTAGATCTGTAAAGCCCTCAGGTAAGGAAATAAGGTTTTATCACCCAGCCAATGCTGTGTGCTCATGCATGGGTGCGTGTATTTGAAATTTCTGTCTAGTGGGGCTTTAGTCCAGTCAACAGGTTCTATTGATATTATCTGGGGAGGGGAAAGGGAGGAAGGAGGACATGAGGATGTCTGTTTCAAATCACTACTCTGATCAGAGTCTCAATTTCCTTTTGTAAACTATTTTAAGATCATTTGTGTTCGCGCCCAATGCTTCTACTGTTGCAGTGGGCATCCACACACGCTGCAGGCTCACAGGCAGTACCAAGCTGTTTCCTGAAGGATGAAGCACATTGTGTTGCATAGCAGGGCTCCCTGGGGGCTGTTGAGTCCACATCCCAGCCTGTTGCCTGGTCCTGTAGCCAGCCCTTCATGTGAGGGCCCTCCTTAAAGCAAATATTTCCTTTTTTCTTTGTTTTCTTTCTTTTCCTTCAGATTGTGATGGGACCTATTGAAAACTTGTTTTTCACTTTGGGCTGGAAGAGTTTTGGTGGCAGATGGAATCTATGTTAGTTTTTGTTTTTTTTTCCCCAACTCTTACCACCCCCAGATTCTTATTTCTAGTGCTACCCTCCAGTTCTTCACATATTTCAGCCAAAAAATATCTAAGATAAAACCTGCAGGATCAAGATCAGAGCAGGAATGAAAGTGAATATGAATATCAAGAAGGAATTCAGGATGATGGCCTAGGAGGAAAAGCATCTCCAAGAACAAATAATCAAGAGCTTGTTGGAACTTGTTTTTGTGTGCACATGCATGTGTGTACATGCACACACAAGCAAAAGTAAGAGTCCTATCTCCTTGTGAGAGTCAAAATAGCCTTCATAATCCAGTGTAAGGAAGCAGAGCCTCTCTGAGCTCTGTTTACAAACAGGAGGGTCCAGGCCCTCACATTTGTGGCCCAGCCATGGGCAGCTGGCCCTGACCAGATGTACCATACACAAAAAGAACCAGCTCTCAGCAGAGAGCTTTGGTGAATTATTCATGTGCTCACGAGTCATCTGTTGTTAGGAAAGCCCTCACCCTTTTGAATCCTCAAAGATGAAGATTTCTATTTCCTTTTAATTCCCTCAATGTAATTATATGGACTCTGACAGGTAGCCTACCTGGCTTGTATCCCAGTGCTACTACTTATTTGTAGTATGATGGTGCATAAGTAACTTTACTTCCCTGAAGTGTTCTCCTCTGCAAAATAGAGGTGATGCTGCCTCACACAAGAAGTGTAAGACATAGTGTGAACCGTAGCTGCCTTTACAACATTTTCCACAAGGATTATTTTTATATTGGTAGAACAAGATGAATAGGATATGATTTAAATCTCTGGCATTTTTAGAGACTTCTGCAGTCTCCTTTAAGTACAGAGAAAGAATATCAGATAGGTAAGGGCTCTTGGCATTCTTCCTTTTGCACAGGAAGGACATAGTGCTATAGGGCACTTGTGCAGCATGGCCTGAAAGCATTCTAGAGCTGTGTGTGCCGACTCCTTTGTTCAAACCATTTCTCACAGGCATGTTTATCATGGCTGAATCTAAGTCACAAAATAGCAAGAAGGAAGAACCGCAAATAATTATTGAGAAATGACTATTTTGAAAGTAAGATGCCATTATCCATTTTATTAATCTCTGAAGACTAAAGTGGCATAATAATGGTCTTAGATCTGTCTTATAGTAATCAGCAAACCACTGTGAATTTGAGCTTGGGGTTTAGCTTACAAAAGCCTTGTGTTATATGCAGATTCAATCAGCAAGATACAGAGAAGCATCTTATTTTGAGATATCAAATTGGGCAACATTTCATAGTAATTGTATGACTATAATTGTGTGGAGTGAAAAATTCCCAATTTCCAACCAACTGTTCTCAATCTTTTCCCTACCCCCCCCCAAAAAAAAAAAGTTGGTGAGACTGACCCCCTGTCAATTTTTATGAATATTTTAAGTTTCTAATAATCTATGTGTTTCCCAACTAATTCCCCAGAAGAATATTTTAAGTCCTGGGTCCCATGGGGGTGCTGTAATACCTATAGGAATGCCTGTGAGGAAATGTTTAGCAACCAGTGGAAGAATGTGACTAAGGGTATTCAGATAGCTCCTTCCTCGCTGGGGAGAGGATCAGGAGCCCTATATTCCCACTGGACCTTTACAGCATAGAGGGCTATGCAAGACCCAGCAGCCTGCTCAGAGGCCTTCTAATGCCCTTGGTGCTTTCTCTGTGATGAAAGAGAGTGGGAGAGCTGGGAGTGGAGTAGGGTGGGGAGGTAAGAATCTTTTCTCAGAGACCTCACCCTTCTCTCTACTCTTCCCTGGGAGGGCCTTTTCCTTCTGTTCTCTCCCCTCACCATTTGTGGGGTTGTATTGTTTGTTGTTGCTTTTCTTAATATATAAATGAAATCAGATTTCCAACTCCTCTGGGAAGCTGAGAGTCAGCGTGGGAGATGAGAGTGTTTCCCCAGGCTGAGACTCATTGTTGAGGAGCAAAGTACACACCAAGTGGAGACTGACCCAGGCCCCAGCCCAAAGGCGGAGGCTGCTGTCTGAATCACCCACCCTTTTTTCCACTGAGACAATGAGGAAAATAAAACCTCCATCCAGACCAGTTTCCAGCCAAATGTGAAATCCTCCTGCCTAAAAAGAAAAAATCGAAGTAGCCCTGAAATGTCAGACCTTCCTCTTAAATCTTTTGCTTGTTTGATGATTTTTATTTACAGCTGGGCCTACTCATCCCTAAATCAAGCCTTGAGTTGAAATATGAACTCCATAAAATTCCCACAGACCCTTCTGCACTGTCCTAGACCAGGCCCAGCTCTGACCTTCAGGGAAGTCCAGACTCTGGAGGAGGAAAAGGAGACAGAGAGAAACCTGACCCTACTCTCTTCATTTTAAACCTCGATCCTTCTTCCGGCTCTGTCTTTCATATCAGACATTCCTCTTCAACTCCCCAGCCAACCAGCCAGCATAGATTAAGCCTAGTGTTACCTGCCAAAACCCACAGACTGTTCAAAGATGTGCACATCTCATCCCAAATCCTCAGCACCAGCAGCTGGATGGTTCCCAACTATCTCTTGAAGTCTCCTCTCCCTTTCTTTAATTTTCCTTTGATTAGCCCTCGTGAAGGAAGGTAATAAATGATTACTGACTTGGTCCCAGAGCAGATTCCAAACCCATTCTAATTCTTAATTTTGAAGCAGAAATAGTATCAGAACTTTGTGTTTAGTGGTAAGATAACCCTGGTCCCCAGAAACTCCTCATTATGATGAAACATCCAATTACAGACAGCTGTACATAAGATTCTGAATGTTACAAAATCAGTGAAAAATGTCATTCATCTCTAGGATCTGAACTGTCATCTCTCTCTAGCCATCAGAAATCAGAAGGTCTCACCTTCTTCAACAGTAAACTAGGAGTGGTTTTCAAATCTTGTTTTAAGAGTTACATGGAACACAATATATGGATCGAGTATTTAGGAGCCACTTTGAATGCTTTCGAGAGAAATGGTCAGATTCTACAAGCTGGAACTAGATCCAAATGTCTACCCCTCCTCTTCTTCCAGGCTTGCCTGGGACACAGTGTGAAAATACTGTGTTGTCATAGAGCTCCCCTATGACCCAGCAATCCCACTTTTGGGCATTTACCCTAATGTTTA